GGGGGGGGGGGGGGGGGGAGTCAAAGTATAACAGAGGAAGAAGGAAGATGGCAAAATGCCCAGAACTTCTCAAAGTATGTAAAGCCATGGCCAAAAGCCCAGAGCTTTCCAATCAGCTTCTGAAAAGCAGAGAGCGAAATTAAACAGAAGCTGTGGCAGAAACTGTGAGATCTGAAGGCACTTTCTGAGCAGGTTAGGTAGCTTGAATTCCTATAAGGAAAGATTCTGTAGTTTCTGGGGATTGAAATTTCTTCCCTCATCTTGGTATTCCACTGCAAATGTGGTAGAGAAAAAGAGCACAAAATTTCAAGTTAAGATCTCTGCCCATTCTTTAAGCTTTTTGAAATTACCTTCTATGAGCAGATATTCCTTTTGTAAAATCTGGGTAAAGCATGATTTTGTCATTAGTGTATATGCCAGCACATAAAGTGGCCTCCATATAAGAAAAGGTCAATATTTTGAGCTGTTTTTCTGGTGTTTGCTATATGTTGAGTGTATAAGGCTACCTCTAATTTTTGCTTCACTATTTTTGGTTTCGAGGGTCTTCTTATACACTGATATATATGGTAGTAACATGTGGAACAAATGATCAGGAAGTATGTTTCAGAATAATAGAGTAATAATAGAAAAATACCTGTACATATCAGTGTATAGGGTGACTTGCATATAAAACAAGGTCAGTATTTTGAGAGTTTATATATATCAGGCATATAAGATGCCCCCAGTTTTGGCTTTTCTATTTTTGGTTTCAGTGGTCATCTCATACATCTGTATATATGGTATCTGGACCCCACTGGATCTCCTCCCATTGCCTGACGGCCCTTGATGTAGGCAGGAACCTGACAAGATGCTCTCACTTCCCGGGTAGGACCAGAAATATGGCAAGCATACTCAGTATCAAGACCAGCACTTCCTTGACATTACCTTGGGGAGCTGTTCGCCATGCACTCTCCAATTGGCCAGTCAAGGGGAGGCTTCTGGGAGTGAAAGATGGGCAGATGTTGTGTTCTGGGAAGCAATGCTACACATTCATTCGATACAACTGTCTTCCCAGTTTGGAACTCTAGTTTCTATTATCTTAAAATGGTGTCAAAAGAATCTACAGAATCTTGTGGTAGCTTAATTAAATCTTGGAGCTGTCCCATCTTCTTCGGCTGCTTAGATGACATATGCTGCAGCAAAGCAACAACTTAATCTCTCTCTCTCTCTCTCTCTCTCTCTCTCGCTCTGTCCCTGTCCCTGTCCCTGTCCCTGTCCCTGTCATAGAGGTCTTGGCAGAAGCCAGTTGAATTGCGGCTGGTGAAAGTCTGACAGCTTCTTAGGTTAAGCAACTGCCACAGTTGAACACTCCCTAAATATTCCTGAATATACAACTCCTGACAGGAGTTCTGGCAATTACAAAAAATAGCACTACATACAGTAAAACAAACAAACAAACAAACAGATAAGCAGGAGATAAAAGTTTTAACAGCATGTTTAAAAGCTGAAAATCTTTTTCAGAGATGATATGGAATGATAGACACCTTAGATTGCCATCTTAACCAAAATTGAGCCTGGGAATATTGTTCTGCCTTTTAAACCCCAGTTCTCCACACAGTATGAACTCCAGGGGTGCAAGCATTATCTGAGGCTTTGGTTTCCTTTGAATGAGCTACTGGACAGAGTTACAGGGGTTTTGATAATCTGCGTTTATTTACACATATATACAAATCGTGCATAAGTGAGGGCTCACAGTATTAGCACCCCAACACATACACACCCACTGCTAGGGTTTCAGGTAGCTCAGTGTTGTCCTAGGATTCCCGCACAGAAAAACTTAGCTTTCTTTGTGTCTCCTCCAATCTATCTCCAAAACTGGAGATTTGTCCCTTTGCTTCCTGCTTGCCCAGAGACCTCATCTGCCCACTTCTTTCTAGTGTGTGGGTGGGGATAATGATGAATTATCTCCACCCCACATAGACAAATCCAAACAGAAAAAGGAGCAAACCTTTATTTTTACCCTCCTGAACAGCAACTATAAACTGAAAGTCTCTGTTGAACTAGAATAGGATCGACATACATGGTTACCAGTTAGGATAACAGTTTGACCAAGGAAAACATCAGGGGTTGAATCCAGATTTAACCTGGGTCATTTACAGTGGTATAAATGGCCTTCCCTGCCCTGTTCAGCCGCCTGAAAATGCTACGCCAGGGACCACTCTACACATCACAGGCATTTGTGGGGCATCGAGGTGCTTGCCGGCCACTATTTTAAATAAGCTGGCCATAGTACACGTGCACTGAGGATTGTCGGGCTGTGCCATGCAAACCTAAGCGGAATGGGCCGTGCGGAGGGCAAGCAGCCCTTGGATAATCCTAGAACAACCCATAGATTGCTGCCTAATGTTCCGTAACTCACACCACCCAGGTCTGCATGACCTGACGGGCTGCGGCATGGCCCTGCTCCCTTCTGAGCAGTCCTGCAGAATGTAGGAGGTGCTGCTTTGAGGAAGCTAATGCTAAATGCTGACCAGCAACCACAACGGATCCAAGCAAATTCTGCGTATCACGGAGGGATGCAGCCTGCTCCACATGGCATCAGGGCAGCTCATGAGTTCGTTGCCCCTCTGGTCAGCCTCCGCTGCTCTTCTGCCCAGCTGACGTCTTCCTCTCCCTCTCCATCACTTTGTGTCCCATCAGCTGCCTCTTTTGAAAATAAGAAATGTGAACCAAGCTTTCACAGGACAGAGGCTTCCCTTTTGCACAGGCTTTCCTCCCCCCTCCCCCAGAGTTCCCCTCTCAGTGACTGAGAACAGCCTAGAGCCCAAACCTTCACTTCAGTTCCCTACAGGAGCCATCCAGGAAGTCTTGCTTTGGTGCCCCTCCTAAACCTACTGGTGGCTAGCTCTGCAATCTTTAACACTGCTTTTGGCGAACAACTCCCATCAGCCCTCAGCAGCATAGACTATAGTGAGGGAGCTGAGTGCCAAAACATCTGGACAGCTGGAAGTGGCCCACCCAAACTGCAGCATTTCATGAAATCCTGCAGGCACATTCACTATTATATTTGTAACCCACCCGTTTTCCTTCCAAGGAACTCAGGGTGACTCACATAACTCTGCTCCTCCGCTCAGTCTGCACAACCATTCCCAACAATGGCCTGCAGGCTAGGACATACCGCATTGATGCCGAAGCTCCCTCGGACGCCCGCAGCTGTCACTGCGTACAGGACGGCTGCTCCGGCAATGCCCCCCACCAGCTGGGCAACCACGTAGCAGGCCGCCTTCACCAAGGAGACGCGCGAGCCGAGCAGGAAGGCCACGGTCACCGCTGGGTTGACATGGGCCCCACTCGCGTGCCAGGAAATCTGGACAGCGGTGGCTGCAGCCAAGTTGAAGGTGATGGCGCTCTGCAGGACGGAGGGTGGCTCCGGCCAATTCAGCACCGAGCCCAGGCCGAAGAAGACATAGATGGCGGTGGCCAGGAACTCTGCCAGCACAGCCCGGAGGAAGGCTACTGAGAACAGCTCTTTCCACATCCTGCAAGGAGCTGCGAGGCAGCTGAAAGGATCCTGCCTTGCCTTTTCTGGCCTTCCCTGCTGGGTGAGGTCCAAGGAGGGGAAGCACTGCGGGCTATGCAAATGCATAGATTGCCACACTGGGCTGGACCAGGAAACCTGGAGAGGTCCTGCTTCCTCCTTTCCTACCCAGCTTCACGCCTGGCTCAGCCCACATTCTTCAGGGGTGGGAATGCCAAGAAGCTTGTGGGCCAACCGAGGGGAGCTGGTGGCAGCTGCCACTCCCTGGCACTGTGGACAGGGCATGAGGTGACACCCCGAGAAGTGGCAGGGAAGAAAGGCAGTGCACCCCAGGACCAGCACCTCAAGCCACCTGAACCTGAAGTCTGTGTGGGAGTCTCCCTCCCTCTCTCTCTCTCTCTCTCTCTCTCCCTCTCTCTCTCTCTCTC